GTGGCTTAAACAACAGAAATTTATTTTCTCACAGTTCTGGAGGCTTGAAGCCCAGGATCAAGGTGCTAGCAAATTTGGTTTCTGGTGAGAGCTCTCTTCTTGGCTTGCAGATGGCTGCCTTCTCACTATGTCCTTATATGACCTTTTCGAGAGAGTGAGCTCCCTAGTGTCTCTTCTTATAAGAACACAAACCCTGCTGGATCAGGTCCCCACCCTTATGATTTCATTAACCTTAATTATTTCCTTAGAGGCCCCATATACAAATACAGCCACGCTGGGGGTTAGGCTTCAACATATGACTTTTGAGAGGACACAAACATTAAGTACATAATATCAATCAATAAACAAAAAATAACTATAAGAACAGAATGAGTTTACTCTCTTCATTCATTAAACAAATAAGAATGAGTACCTATTATGTACCAGATACTGTACTAGGTGTGGAAAATACATCCTGGAACAGGGAGACCGGGCTTCTATCCTCATGGAACTTACAGGCTAGATAGGAAGTGGACAATTAAACAAGTAATTATAGTAAAGGGTGGTGAGAGTAATGATAAGAGCAATAGCAGGGACAGCCCATCTATCCCTGTATTCTAAAGGGTCAGAAAAAGCCTGAAGAAGTATATTTGGAGGATGAGCAGAGATAGCCAGGTGAAGAGTGAAATTAAGACTGTTCTGGACAGAGAGACCAGTACATGCGAAGCCTCTGAGTCAAGAAAGTGGGTCAAGAAGTTCCATGGAGCTGGTGTAGGGGATGGAAAAGAACTTTTCCCACTACCCTCTTAGGTTCAGTATTCGGGGCCTTGCAAATGAAACTGATCAAAGACAGATTAACAGAATTTAAAAAACAAGAGTTTATTTACACCTGCAACACATACACACAGGAGAATTCAACGATAAGTAACTAAAGAGGTGGTTAGATTTGGGGGTTACATACTATCTTAGCAAATGGCAATAAATTTGTGGAGAAGTGATAGGACAAAGGAAAAAGGGTTTGGACTTCTAGGGGTGGTAAATTGTGGAAAGGTAAACATATGGGGAAACTAATGGGAGATAAGGGTTATTTTAGTACAGTTTGTTTGTGCAGACCCAACTCAGTGCCAACTCTCTGTCTCGTGATAATGTTTGTTTTCCTCCTCCTGGTACAGGAGAGGGGAGAGGAAACACCTTCACAAAGGGAAATTCATGTACTGCTTTTAGGCAGATAGGGGGAGGGCAAAGAGCTCTTTCTATGTTTGCTGCTGCTTAATTGCTTTCAGCTCAAAATAATCCTTATGCCAAAGTGACATATTCTGATCCCTTTTGCTGGAATGTAGAGTATAAGAGGGGGATAGATGACAGAAGGCTAAACAAGGAGGCAGGGACTAGACCTTAGAGGGTCTTGTAAGGCAAGTTAAAGGGTTTGGACTATATCCTAAGAACGGTGGGAAATCCTGAGTTGAGGGGGCATATTTAGGCAGGGGAGTCCTCACGTGATCGGACTTGCTTTTGGAGGTAGCTAAGACTAGAGGCAAGAAGAGACATGAAGGTATATTTAGGAGGTAAACTTAGTAGGGCTTTGTGACTAGATGTTAAAGAAAGAGAGTGGTTTCTGGTTGGGCAATGGAGAAGATGACAATGCCTTAAACTTGGACAGGAAATATTTCAAGTATGAGGAATGAGGAGCTCCATTCTGAACAAAGCACCTGTGAGACACGCAGATAGAGACGTTCAGTTCACAGCTAGGCACTTGGGTCTGGAGTTCTAAGAAGCAGTCTGGCTGCAGAAACAGATTTTGGAACAATTTGTGGATGAAAAACTGAGGCCACAAGAATGGAAGGGTGTTTCTGGGAAGAATGTGTAGGATCAGAAGAAGACCTACAACAGATCCCTGAAGCGTTCTAACATTAGAGGGGCTGCAAAGGAAACTGATAAAGAACAGAGCAGTAGGAGGAAAACCAGGAGACCGTGTGATCAGAGAAGCCAAAGGAAGGGGATGATTTGACCAAGACGGAGAACCAAAAAAAAAAAGAGGAGAAAAAAAGTCTCAAGGTCAAGTAACAAAAGAAGAATAAAAGGCAGCATGCAACAGGGACAAAAGAAGGATACAGACAAGGAGGACTGAAGGAATTCAGAAGAGTAAGCTTCTCCTGGGCTATGTTTCAGTGGGACCTGCATCTGGGCACTGATACCATGTCTAGCTTCTTGAGTAGTTCCCTAATGCTGGCCTCCAAATCTGACTGAACATGAAACAGAACAAGAGGCAGGCTAAGGAGAAGAGATAATTTACCATGTTTGGAATAATGCTTACTCTAACCTAACTCCACTCGCCAGCTAAACATATGTGGATGATGAATGACAGCAGGGTACCCAAGTGGTTGTTGGATGGTGAGTTGAGCTTAAGTATGTCAATCAGGAACAGAGAAGGAAGTAAAAATGCTCTAAAAGATCCCATTAAAGCACAACTTCAAACAATGTGGCCTTGCTGCGGAGGAGCAGAAAATCACAACAGATGTATCAGCCCAGCGAACAACAGTCAGAAAAGAGATGCCTTTTTTCAGTGGGTAAAAAAAAGGCTTTAGGCAAATTCCAAGCTTACAAGTCAGATGTCAAGCACCACAGACTCTTTAAATGCTGACTCCAGATACACATTTCCATACAAAAAATATCATCTCTGTGTATCCCGTGTTGTAAATTCCTACATTTAAGTTTACAAGAATCCATTGTGCAAATATAAGACTTGGGTCGGCAGACCACAAGCTTAGCATGAGCAAACAGTGTCATGTGACTGCTAAAAAATGCAAGTAAAACTTTAGTGTACTTAATAGAAGTGCTCAGATAATAAAAGCAGTAGTCCTACTGCATTCTGAATTAATTAGAATAAATCTGGAGTGTTGTGTTCAATTAAAAGCATCAAATTTTAAGAGTAATATCTCTTACCCATCCCTTTCTTCCCATTCCCACTACCAAATTCTCTCATCTCATACCCGGTAGTTTCCCACCAGTCACTCCTTCCCATCAGCACATGCCTTGTGCAGCATCACTTCGCTAGCCTCCCATCTAGAGGTGGAGTCTATTTCTCCTCCCACTGAATCCAAGCTGGCATTGTATCTGACTTGAACCAACAAGAAGTGATGGAGTTTGACTTATAGGCCTAGGCCTTAAGGGACCTCACAGCTTTTGTGTTGGCCTGCTTGGTTGCCAGCCACCAAGTCAAGAAGCTGGGGCTAGACTACTGATTGATGAGAGGCCAAGGCTGAGAGAGAGGTCACGTGGAGGAGAACCGAGGGGCTCAGCCAATAGGTAGCACCAAGGCCCAAAACATCTGAGTGAAGCCATCTTGGATCTTCCATCCCCAGTAAAGCCAATGATGGTAATATTCTGTATCTGTGCTATCCATTATGGGAGTCATTAGCTACATATGTCTACTGAGTCTTTGGAATGGACAGGGCTCCTGAAGAACTTTTTTTTTTTGGTGAGGAAGATTGGCCCTGAGCTAACATCTGTTGCCAATCTTCCTCTATTTTGTATGTGGGACACTGCCACAGTGTGGCTTGATGAGCAGTGTGTAGGTCCATGCCAGGGATCCAAACCCATGAACCCCAGGCCGCCAAAGCAGAGTGTACAAACTTAACCACTACACCACCAGGCCGACCCCCAGAACTTCATTTTTAATTTCACTTGATTTTAACTAAACTTTAAACAGTCAGTGGCTACCATATCAGTCATTGTAGAAGACTATTCCCACTCCAATTCATCCAGCATAATTCTGCTAAAAGAACAGGGCAGCAGAGAATCACCTTAGCACCCACACTTTATGGGGCTACAAGTGCATAAGCAGTAACTAGAGATGACTGGTGGTGAAGAATATAGTAGCTCTGTCAACTAGCGTTAAAAAAAAAAAAAAAAAAAAGACCTCCCTCCACATCATCCAAAGGAAGGGAGTGACCCATTCCAACCTGATTTTATCTGCATAAAATGTGAGAATGAGAAAGGAAAATTGCCACACAATGGAATATACACCGAACGTCTAGCCTAGAGATGTCCTGATCAGAAAATTAACCTTCAAAACTGTTTTCTCCATCTACAGAAAAACAAAATTTTAATAGCTCCCTGGTTCATATATTTTTGGGGGAGAGGGAGCAGGAAAGAAATTTGAAAGAGCCTACTATGTGTGTTAGACACAACCACAAGGGTTAATGCATTTAATTCTCTTCATCACTTTTTTCATACTAGGGAAATAGAAGTTCAGAGAGGTTGTGACTTGCCTAAGGATCTAAAACTAGTTAGTGCAAGAGAGAAAATTCAAAATCAAGCCTCTGAATTTCTCAACACACCACAAAGCCTCTCCTATAAAAATTTCCGCCTGCCTTCCGAGATTTTCCATGATCTGGTCAGCTAACTAATTATTTCCAGTTAACACCTTAACTCTTATCAGACTGATCTCATTTCTGCTTTCCTTCACTTACCCTCTCCTTTCTTTTCTAATTCTACCCATCCTTCAAAGCCCAGTTTGTGTCCCTTTTTCTTTCCTCATCTTAATCCCAATTAATTTTCTTCCCCTCTGAATTTTTACATCACTTATAGTGGGCACCACATAATATAGCACTCTTAGTTACACTGCTTTTCCCTTAAATCGACCGTAATCTCTTTAAGGACAAATACCAAATAAATTTTTGGAGGGTGGCAATCCTTCCAAATTTCCTATATCCCTTTGAGCCATGAATAGGTACTTCTGGAATGGATGAATGACCTAAGCTCAACAGACAAATACTTCTTGATTAGTTAAAGTCAGCCCCAAACTCTCATGTTTTACCCTTTGCTTAATCTACCGCGCACCAATTAATCAAGAAAAGCTGAGCAGAAATCAAGACGGCAGCACAGCCACGTAACGCTCCCCACCCGCTCCGGCACGCCACGCCCAGCCTGCTGGTAGCCGATTGGGCGTGGCCCAGCCTAGGGTGGCCTATTGGGCGTGGCGTGCGTGAGTGAAGGTGTGGCCGAGAAAAGAAACCTACGCTCTGGACCGGACTCGGTAGTCTCCGGTAATCCTCGACAATTTCCGGCAACGGTCTCCTCCTCCGTCGACCCACCTCGGGTGTTTCCGGCCTCCTTCGGGCTTTTCCGTCTGGCTCCCGCGCGGATCTCTCCCCTTCGGGTATTTCCGTGTCCCGCTCGGAGGTACTCGGCAGTCTCTCGGCCTCCCCCATTCCCCGGTAACGGTCGCTGGTGAGTTTAAATGAGCCGGGGCTGGCCGGGCCGAGCCGCTACGGGGGCGGCCTGAGGCACTGCAGAAAGTGGGCCTGAGCCTCAAGGATGACGGTGCTGCAGGAACCCGTCCAGGTAATGAGAACCCCGTTCTCTGAGGCTTGGCTCGCAGCCTCGGTCGGGAAGCAGCGTATGGCCACTCCGCGGCCTGGTGCGGCCTAGGCCCGGCTGCCTCTCCCGCCTCCCCCCGTGCCGGGTCCTGCCTATCCTCTCGTCAGTCCGGAGGCCTTGCCCGTAGCCTACGCCGTGTTACCTCTGGTCCTACGTCACTTCTACCCCTCGTGTGAGCGGGGTTCGGCGATAATAGCTCCTTTCCCCTCCGAGCCAACGTCCACCTGGGCCCTCCTGTCAGTCTAGGGGCCCGGCCCCGGCCGGGGTGAGAGATGAGGGGCCGAAAACTCGCCCCAGGTGCTCTCGTGCCTAAAGGATGGTGGGGAAGCACATTTGATCAGAGCTTGTACGGGCTTCATAACGGTGGGGCAAGTTGGCGGGGTGGAGGGGGTTGGTTTTGTTTTTGTTTTATGTGAGAGGGCGGAGGGAGGGTAGATCGGTATTTTTAATACTAATTTCTATTTTGGTAACAGACTTGCAAGCCCACGTTGCTTTTCTCGCTCAGTGAATTTCCCACTGGACAATGATCTGAGAAGAGAACTCCAAGGCCCAGTGCTGAGGTGCAAGCACCTATCCAAGGGGAGGGGGTGGAAACGGCAAATCTGGGTTTTTCCATGACCTGTGGTGGGGATCAGGAGTGTTTTATTGTGCATGTTTGTAAGGCGTTCAGGAAATGAAAGACAAATAGTGGTTTTACCATCCACTTCGCTGTCCTCACCACACCAGGGTATGCTTTGACGCACAGAGCTCTGTTGGCATGGAGGAAACACGGTTGGATTTTAAGTGTGTGAGGCAGTGCCAAGTCATTTTTCCCCTTGTCGTCTGAAGTAACTGAATCTTTTGTCCCTTGGTGATGAACCAAGTCTGGGAGACTGTCAACCCACCCTAGGATCTTGAACTTGATTAGAAGAGTTGAGCTCTGTCAACTGCTGTCATTGACTCATGGATTTTCTCTATTTTGAAGTTATAAAGCAAACTGATTTTAGAAATTATTTCATATACCCTTAATAGGCCTGTGATATCAAATAGTAAATATTTTAATACATCACTTCTTCCATATTTCCTTAATTTTTCTTCACAGGATGAAATACCAGTTTCTGCTAGTTGGCTGCTTCGCCGGCTTTTTACATGTAGCAGCTATTAGTGTTTGATTTAATGTAATGTGGGATTCTATTTTAGGAAATTTACCTGTTTGTAAGTTGTACCAGTGTTTCCAAAGCTATTTCTTTCCATCCAAATTCCTCTTACTAGTAAAGAGTCTCTGAAGATTTTTTTTTTTTTTTTGAGGCTTAACATGAAATTAGAAGTTGCTGTCTGTACCTTCTTACATAGATAAGCAGATCACTCAAGTTGTTTAATTTCTGTTTCATATTCTTGTAATTCTGTCTTAATAATTAATGATACGTTTGCCTTCTTTGGCCCCAAAGACTTCTAAAATGATAAACTAGTTTCATTGCTAGCTTATAACCACTATTTAATAATAATTTCAACTTGTATAAGAGCTTGGAGAAGAAAAGAAATACATAGCCTATTCCTAGATAGTGCCTGCCAGGTTTCCTCTTTTCCTTAAAGTACTCTTAGCAGTAATGCACTTAGGCATTTTTAAGGCTCAAATGTCAAATTTATCTTTTTTTTTCACACTACCTTTATCCGTTAGATTTGGGAACAGTGGTAAGAAGTTTTAAGATACGGGGTAGTATAAGAAGAAATAAGAGATCTGGAGCAGAGGGAAGAACAAGCAATTTTGGCTAGGATGATAAAGATCAACTGACCAGAGATAGTGCTGAAAATGGGAAAGAATTAGTGAGGAAGAAAATAAAAATAGGGGACTAGCCCTGTGGCGTAGTGGTTAAGTTCAGGCGCTCTGCTTTGGTGGCCTGAGGTTCGCAGGTTCGGATCCCTGCTGCAGACCTATGCACCGCTCATCAAGCCATACTGTGGCGGCGTCGCATATATGAAATAGAGGAAGATGGGCACAGATGTTAGCTGATGGCCAATCTCCCTGACCAAACAAAAAGAAAAGAAAACTAGGACAGATAAAGATACTGTATATGTTTTTCTTTTTAACTATAATAAGTGATTGCATGTATTTGTAAAGGGATGAGAGTAAGTTGGAAAGTTGTTTTCTTTCTTGGGATGCCTCATGGTTCATGGTATTACTAGGCATAGGAAAAAGTTGAGAGAAAAAATGAGCAACTGTTCTCTGCCTTTTTATTTTCTTTAACGTTTTAGTGTGGAAGAGCCAGTCTGAGATAAGGTAAGAATAAGCTCCTCCTCCAAATTATCTCTCATAGAAAAGTGTTACTTAATATTTGAGTCATTACAAAAATCTCTCCTATTATGAGGCAGAAATTCTGTCGATTATTTTATTTTTAATATAACTGGGGAAGACACACTACCCTAAATGACTTCAATCAGTGCTAATTTGGAGGTTTATAAAATTCACCTGATGAAACTGATAAAAAACCAATGATATTTTGATAGATTTATCAATTATTCCTGGGGTAGGACTTCACAGTTAGAAGTGTTGGATGAAGTTGTAAAGAAGCCTTATAAAAATCACCATAATGAGCAGTGTGGTAAGTGGTTACTATACACATAATATCATTTTATTTATTTATTTATTTATTTTTTAATAATCATATATATATTTTTTAAAGATTTATTTATTTATTCTTTTCCCCCCAAAGCCCCAGTAGATAGTTCTATGTCATAGCCGCACATCCTTCTAGTTGCTGCATGTGGGACGCGGCCTCAGCATGGCCGGAGAAGCGGTGCGTCGGTGTGTGCCCGGGATCCGAACCCCGGGCCACCAGCAGCGGAGCGCGCACACTTAACTGCTAAGCCACGGGGCCGGCCCATAATATCATTTTAGAGGTCATTAGATAGTGAAGGAATACTTTTGGCTTGGAATAAGATGTACAGGAACAGCATTTAACATGGATTCAGAGGATACCGTATTTCAAATAACTTAGAATTGAAGGTGGTGTATTCAGGAAAATTGTGTTAGATGACCAAAAAAAAAGGCTTTATTGATGTCAAAGATATATGTAAACAGTTTTAGTAAAATTGTTCTATTCAATGAGAGTAGAAAAAAGTGAAATTTCTAAATATATATTGTGATTTTTAAAATGTATATGTGTAAATTGATAAATCAATAGGCAGTTCATTATTTGATCTTCATTCAAAAATGTATATATTCAAGTTAGCGGAAACATTTGTTTATGAAATTTTCTTTTGGAAAATAGGAGATTACATTATATTTAGGTATAAGATAGTGCCTTGAAGACAGTGCTACATAGTACCTCAACTGAGAGAATAAGCTTTGAGGAGTGGGGGTGGAGGAGGAAGTCATTGCAAATACATAATATTTTAATTCCTGTATAGACTAGTGTCCTGATATAGCCCTTGCTTTGTCTATCGTCTATAGAGAGAGAAAGCATTAGACAAATAATCATAAACTAATAATTACAACTGTAATAAGAAGGACACAATAAATAGTGTGTTAGGAAGGAGACATACTAGGAGAGACCTGACCGAAGCCCAGGTGTCTAGTTTGCAGTTGGACCACCAAAGGAGGTACTGCAAAACGGCAAAAAGTTAAGAAGCAGCCTCAATGAAAAAATCAAATAGGAAAGAATGTTATGCGCCTGCTGTGTGCCAAGCACAGAAGAGTATAAAAGATGTTCTAAAACCTTAAAATCTAAAGAGGATGTTAGGAAAGTCCTTTTTGAGCAAGTAACATTGAAGCTGAGAGTTGAAGGTTAAGGAAACATTAATTTGAAGAGCAGTACAGGCAGAGGAAACAGCATGTGCAGAGTCCCTAAGACATAGCTGAACTTGTCATTGGAAGAACTGAAAGAAGACGAGTGTGGTTGGAGTTATGGTAATGGAAGGTCGTTATAAGGAGTTCAGTTTTCATTCTAAGTGTGATAGGGAATCATTGAAGAATCTTCAGCAGAGGGTTGACATGATCTGATGTAGGTAGATGTTAGGATCTCTCGGTACTGTGTGAGAAATGTAATGGGAGGAGGGAGGCAAGAGTAAAAACAGTCTTAGGATGAAGGTAACCTAGACCAGAGTAGCAGTGGAGTAGGAAAGAGGTAGATAAATTCAAGAGATGTTTTGAAGATAGAACCAATGAGACATGGAAATTGATTGGGGGGTGGGGAGCGGATCAAGAATGGCTGCCTGGATTTCATTTTGGTGGTGCCATTTCATAAATGGAGAATCTTTTGAAGGGGGGACAGTTTGAAGGAGGACAATTAAGAATTCTGTTTTGGACAAATTCAGTTGAAGGTATTTGTGAAACCAACCAGTAGAAATGTGGAGATATAACCTCTAATCTTTTGAGGGATCTAGTCTTGTTGGGAAGATAAGAATGCTTAACAAGAACAATTGGATAACGTTATAAGTCAGTATGTATTTGATTGCAAGGATAATAATAAAGAAATTCAGGAAAGAGAGAGATCTTCATAAACCAGAAAAATGGGAAAGGTTTCTTGAAGGAGTAGAACTTAAAGCTTTAGAAGATGAAAAAGCTTTGAATTGGTAAAGAAGAGAAAGAATATTCTTGGTGTGAAATGGCATGAGCAAAAGCCCAAAGTTGACAATGGTGTTTAGGAACAAGAGAACAGTAAAATATTATAAAATGGACATTGAGAGCAGGAAGAGATAAGGTTTTGCTAGCCAGGTAGAATCAGGTTAT